CCATCTATGGATATGGACGTTCTTATGCATATCCATAGATGGATAAGAACATGGGAGAATAAGACTAACTGGATCAAAATGCACGAAGAAAGAAAATGAAACTAAAGGGATTTTAAAAAGTATTCATAGATTTCATTCCAACCCACAAACAGCAGTGAATATTTAGACGGTCAATTAAGAATCTACGAGCTAATTCAACATTTGAAAGGTTATCAATTGTAAAAACAATTATGTAATGTAAGTTTAGAAGACAAGCGATTATTTTCTTTTTAATTTAACAAAATTTATGGCTTCAAATATTACCAGCATGTCATAAATATTTATATTTTGGGAAGATTATGAACATTTAATACATTTAAACAGAGTGATCCTGATTATTTGCTTTTCATGGCCAAGGTTTGGCTTTACATATTTTATTATAAAATCCAAGATTCAGTTTATTTGTGTTGGTTAAATAATCTAAAATTACTTTTAACATCAAAGAGATATCTAACCCAACTATTCCAACTATCCATTTTTTGCAGAATATCTTCTGTTTGATCAATAGGAATAGGAACTTGAACGTGAACATTAACTTTATTGAATATTACTTTAGAGAACAAACTGTCTTTATGATTCGGGAATTTTATTTTTATCAAAATATCGTCACCCCATTTCTGCTTTTATACTTCAAAGGTCACCATATGTCAAAATGAATGACTTATGGCTTTTTGTGAAGGATTTAGGGCTTTATTGTTTTATTACTTTCTGATTTAATTATTTCATTGTTTTATTATACTATGACTTCCAGCCCCCCATCTTTCCGGAACCCTCCCCATCCTTGTTTTTCAACTGTTCATTTCTTTTTTTAAGCGCAGATCGATTCGTTCAAGTCAACCCCCTTTGCTCTTCATACAATCTTTTTAGGTAAAAAACAGGAAAAAAACAACACCTGAGGAAGTCCCACCTCATAATAGGGTTGTCAAAGTGAGGAGTCCCATGCACGTCCTATTTGGATTTGAAATGCTTTTCCTTTCCAGATCCCACATCCATAAAACAGTCTTGTTATTTTGACACATGGGATGGTTCTGCTTCCAGACATCCTATTACAGGACAGATTCCTCCCCTCTGCTGTGGGCATGGTTAAAATGTTAGAGAAAAACAGGTCTGATCCTGTTTCCCTAGGCAACTAAGGAAGCTGCTATTCGCCCTCCTTCCACTTCTTTTTTTCATCACAGTCACCTGAATGAAATGAAGCAATGTGCCTATCATCCACAGAGCGGGAGAGCTGTTGTAAGAAAGCCCAGCAGGGGATCTACTTCCTGTGTCAGCTGAAAAAAAAAAACCTGCCAAGGACAATGATGGTGCACTTCTACTCCTCCATCATCCTCACCTCCTCTATCACCATCTGGTACGCTGGTGTCACCGCCAAGGATAAGGGCAGACTGCAGCGTTTCATCCGGTCTGCAGAGAAGGTGACTGGCTGCAATCGTCCATCTCTCCAGGATGTGTACGCCTCCAGGACTATGAAGCCTGCAGGGACGATTGTGGCTGATCCCTCGCACCCCAGCCACAAACCATTTCATTCACTTCCTTCTGGCAGGAGGCTGCGCCCCATCAGGACCAAAACCTCATGCCACAAGAAGAGTTTCTTCCCATCCACTACCAGCGTTCTCACAAGGCCCAGAGACCCCCGAGACACCGACACTACCTCTCTTCTTCCCCCTATCAGGACCTAGAATCTAAACCTACATAGCATCTCCAGACCACCTGCATTAGATAAACGCAGTCTACTGTGTATATATTTGCTATTGGAAAAAAAAGTATTTAACTAATCTCTCTGGTTAAATAAACAGAGGTCGATAGATTTCACTCAGTCTGCATTTTATTACATCTTTGCAAGGAGAGAACAAGACATCATACCATCCTTATTGCATCGTTACCACCCCTGTTCTGATCTGAGCAGCGTTCGTTCCCCTTTACTCACAACAATGGAAAGTAATCCGAGTCAAAACAAATTACAGACACTTAGGTTAAACAGTAACATGTTATGAATAAACCTTAAAAAAGAATCTGGTTTGTTATGGGAAGAAGTATTTTCTTCTGTGCAAATACTCCTCACTCAGTCATTGTGTGGCATTGTATTTTTGTCCTTCCACACATGCAGCCTCAAAAAAACTTTATTTGACCTTTATTTCCTATTTCTGGGTTACAGGCTGAAAATGAATCGAACAGATAAAATATGAAATACAGATCCAACCTCCATGGAGCCACTAAATGCAGCTTAGTTTGAATTTCATCTTCATTTTTCCAAAGAGAAAAACAATGTCGGAGAGTAAATGACAGACAGGATCAAATAAAGAGGAAAAAATCTCCAGAGGCCGTTTCTCAATATGTGTAATTGTGTGCTCTCATGTGCTTGTGTACTTAGCCCTAGCACTGTTCCAATTTACAAAAACAAACAGACAGAGAACAGACAAAGTTCTCGGATGTTGTTCTGGCCCCTCCCTCTTTACCCAGCATGCATCAGAGCAGACTTGTCTGTTCTCCAGACTGACAGCTGTCCCAGCATGCACTGCGGCAGCAGCAGGTTAGCGCTCACAGAGCTCAGAGTATTAATTTAAAAGTTCTGTTGCTGTTGTTCAATAAAAGTATGTTAAAAGATCATTTGATGTGAGAACATTATACTTTAAGCTTCTCTATATGGCCTATTTACTGATGTAGTGCATAATTAAAAAAAATATTCCGATGTTGAGAGGACCACAGCAACCAGCGGAGCTCCAAGGCTAAGCGCAGCTAGGCCTAACGTAAGCCTGTCTGATGTCAGGCCTGGCTGGGCTAACTTTAGCTCGTCTGCCTCACCCAGGGCTAATCTTACGCCATCTGCAGCAGCCCTCTCTCTGCATAGCCATTAGTGAAGTACTGCTCGCTCTGATGGAGGTTTAATTGTTTTATTTGGCAAAATGTTCATTTGATTTGTGTTTATCTGACTGTGTTCATTATTATTCCCCACTTGGAGAGAACACAAGTCCGTACTCGTGTTCTAGTGAATTAAGAAACTGCAGCTTCAGCTTCTGTTGATCATCAGGAGACAGATCAGCTCCAGTTCTCGTCACTGTCAGTCTGGTCACTGTAATCTTCATTGTCATCATAATCCTCATCGTCATTATAATCGTCATCTTCATTATAATCCTCATCGTCATTATAATCGTCATCGTCATTATAATCCTCATCGTCATTATAATCGTCATCTTCATTATAATCCTCATCGTCATTATAATCCTCATCGTCATTATAATCGTCATCTTCATTATAATCCTCATCGTCATTATAATCCTCATCGTCATTATAATCCTCGCTGCCGGTCTGGTCACTGTAATCCTCATAGTCAGTGTAATCCTCATAGCCAGAGTACTCCACCGTTTCCTCCCACTCCCTGCAGAGAGAAGAAGAATGAACAGAGGAGATCAGTGAGTTTTTCCTGCTTCTCTCCTTCAGCTTGCAGCACATCCAGGATAAAGAGCAGCAGGGACTTTAGTCCTGTTCAGAGCAGCTGGATTCACTCCAACCATCTACTTACAGTGTCTTCAGTTTGTAGTCTGAACTCTTTACAAGATTCTGCAGCTGCTGAACATCAGAGTGCTTCAGGTTGTTTCTCCTCAGGTCCAGTTCTGTCAGATGTGAGGGGTTTGACTTCAGAGCTGAGACCAGAGAAGCACAGCTGATCTCTGACAAACCACAGCTCCTTAATCTGGACACAGAACAGAAGGATGTGAGCTGATCCAACAGGACGCAGGTTAGAACAGTCCAACAAAACCCGTCAA